TATAAAAATTAATTAACACAAAAAAAAGTAAATAAAATAACAAAGGTATAATAAATAAATAAAAAAAAAAGTAAAAAAATAACAACAATTGATAAGATATATAAAATTCATATTATTTTCTTTTTCTATTTCTATTTCTTTTTCTATTTTTTTTTTTTATTTATTTTTTCAATATATACCATTATATAATAGTACATAAATTATTTATTAAATCTACAGTCAAAAAAAAACCCATATATATAAATATACATGTAAATAAATAATCATTTTTCTTTCTCTTTTTTTTCATTATTTTTTTTCATTATTTTTATTTTTTTATTATTTTTTGCGATCACATTTTTTATACAACACACATTCAAACATATTTTATTTTATACACTATACACAAAGAAACAACAAACCAAATAATTAAAAAAAATAAATTAAAACAAATAAAAAAAAAAAAAAAAAAAAAATAAATAAATAGATTATAAACAATTAAAAAATAACAATATTAATGTGTTTTTTGTAATTTAGTAGTCGTTAAAGAAACAAAATAAATAAGTAAATAAAAATAAAATAAAAATAAAATAAAACAAATAAAATAAAATAAAATAAAATAAAATAAACAAATTAAATTAAATTTAATCAATAATACAATAAATTTAATTTTAAATAAAAACAAAAACTTTATATCATTATATTTTTTTCCTTTTTTTTCCCCTTTTTTATTACATAATTAAAAGTAATCAAAAAATAAATAATAAAATAATCACACACACCCAAAATAAAATATTTTATAAAAATATAAAATTTTAAAATTAACACTAGTTTTTATTTTTTTTATTTTTTTTTAATTATTATTTTTTTAGAATTTTAGAAAGAATATTGAACAAATAAAATAAATATATAAATATATAAAAATAGGAGATATAAGGAAAAAATAGATTAGTCAAAAAAAAAAAAAAAAAAAAACAAAAAAAAAATATTTTTTATAAAAAATGCGATTAGGCAATAAATATGATGGATTCGATGAATTTCAAATCAACGGTAGGCCAATAACACTTTTAAACTTATCAGAATTACAAGCAGCGGTTAGAAAGCGTGCACATAGAATTCCATCCAATTCATCAAAGGCTCAGGTTTTAAATCAACTTAGAGAGATTTTAAGAAATGAAAGAATGCAACAAGAAATGCAAAACGGTAACAATGGAAATGGTATTTCAGGTAACGGAATATTAAATAATAGTAGTAATGGCATATTGGGTAGTGGCCATCATAATCACAATAATAGCAATAGTAATGGTCACCATCATATGAATGGTAACGGTAATAATAGTTTAAATAATAGCATGAGTGGTAGCAGTGGTTCTAATAGTTTAAATAATAGTATGAATAGTGTAAATAATGAAATAAATAATATAATGAATAATAACCATAATAATAGTAATGGTTTTGTAAATAATAAAATAAATAAAATAAATAATAAAAGAAACTATGAAGATTTAATACAACAACAGCAGCACCAATATAATTCATATGGATCATCATCATCAAATACTCCGCCAGGCCAGCAACAATATTATCAATCATCACAAAATATACCTCAACAACAACAACAAACAACACCACAACTACCACACTCACAATCATCATCACCCATTTCAACTCCAAGTAAAAAATATACAACCAATTCTTTTGAGAATAAAGCTTTGGAATTGGAGAGTAAAATCTTAAATTATGTTAATTTCACAACGGTTGTACAAAGATTAAATGTTACCGAGAGCATAGGCAATCGATTGGTTGTTCAATTCACTAGATTTATAGTATTAAAGGTTTTAGATAATGATAGTTTAGATACAAAGTTATCAGCCTCTAAATTGGTCAACAAGTTTTGGAGTTATTTCATTTTAGATACCCTTAAGTATGAGGAATTTTGTAATTTCTTAAAGTTTAAAATTCATTATAATCCAAATCAAGTTTATGAATCATACGAAATTAAAAAGCAGCGTTACAAGAAGACCTTAGAGTTATTAGAGTTTTATTGGTTATCATCGTTTGATACTGAAGTTTGGCCATCAGAGTTTGAGAATTCTAGTTTTTCAGGAAATAATAATGGTAACCAAAATAATAATAATAGTAGTTTCAATATTTCATTAAATGGAAGTAGTAGTCATATAGTAAATAAATTAAATAACTGTAATAGTAGTAGTAATAGCAATAACCATAACAATAATAGTAATGGAGTATCATATAATAATAATAATAATAATAGTCAATTATCATTTATAGATAAAAATGATAAAGATCAAAAAGAAAAAGATAGATTTTCAAATTCAATTAATCATTCCGAATCGTTTTATTACCAACAGCAACAACAAAGATCTATTACACCACCATCAAACATAGGCCTAAAAATACCAACCTCACCAACATTAACATTATCAGCACCAAATATTAAAACTCTCAAACCCATTCCAAAATCACCCCCAACTTCACCCACATTATTACCATCAAACAATATTTTAAATATACATAATTTAACAAAATCATCATCATCATTAAATTTTAGTAATGGAATTATAAATAATAATAATGATTTTAATGGTAATGGTATAAATAAATTTAAAAAAAGTACAAGCAGCAATGGTATAAATAATTTAATAAATAATGTTAGTGAAGATGATACAAATATGAATGGTGATTTAAATGACGACGACGATGATGAGGATGATGAGAATCACAGAGATATTCAAAGTGTTAGCAATATCATTTCATCAATTTCAAAATTTCACACATCATCAAGTAATAGTAACACCGCATTAAATTCACCCCCTTTTCACATAAAAAACAGTAATAATAATAATAATGGAAATGGGGGAAATGAAAATGATGGTGACAACGACGACGAAGAGAATGACACCAATACTGGTGACGAAAATAGCAACATCAACAACAACATACTTAGTAGTGTTAGTGGTGGGGATTGTATTACCTTAAGATGTCTTTCACAGGGTGATGAGAAACACTTTAAAGTAAATAAATTTTCGCCATTCTCAATTTTTATAAATTCCTATAAAGAATACTTTGAAAAGCAAAATCCAGATCCAGAAGGTGGTGATAGATGTTATCGTTTCTTATTTCAAGGTTGCCGTTTAAGTGAAAGTCAAACACCATATGATTTACAAATGATCAATGGTGATGTTATAAATATTATTTCATCAGTTTCAAATAATAGTTATAGATAAATCAATATAATCAAATATAATTAACATAATTATAAATCAAATATATCAAATAATAATAATAATAATAATTAAATCAAATAAAAAACAATAATTAATATAATTACTATTTATAAAATTAATTATATAATAAAAATTAAAGGTAAAATTATTGTGGTATACCCTCTCTTTTTTTTTTCTTTTTTTATTTTTTTATTTTTTTATTTTTTATTTGATTTAATTTTTAATTTTTAATTAAAATTTTTTTTTTTAAATTTTCAAAATTTTTTTTTTTAAAATCAAACACACAAATTTTTTTTTTTAAAATCAAACAATAAACAATAAACAAATAAACAATAAACAAATAAGCAAATAAACAAACAAGAAAGCAAACAAATAGGTATATATAAATATATAAATGGATAAAGAAGATTTATTTTGGAAAGTTTTTAAAAATAAATATTTACTTAATAAAATATTAGAATCATTTTCATCAATCAGTTTAACCAAATCAAGTATATACGAACCTCTAAATAGAATAAAATTTGTATCAATTACTCAATTTTCATTTATTGTACATAAAAAACTATGGAATATTCTACTGGATAAGTTAGAGTCTAATCAACTACTTTTCATAGATTCCGAACCAAGTTTTATAGAGTTTCTCAATATCTTTAAAGAAAAGCAATTTTTTTATGTCATTGAAGCTTTCGACAGGTATATGAAAAGAAATAAAATAAGTTACCCTACAGAAGTACTCTCGGCAAGTATTAAAGCATTCAATCTTTTGGCATTAAATTACTTTGGTAAATCTGGGTTCAATCAAGTTTCAAGTAAACACTATTCACTGGATCAAGCGCTATCGACTTTAGGAATATTTAGGGCTTTATTGGAAATGGATGACGATGGTAAATCAATGTCTTTGCAATTAAAAAAAACAATTTTAAGAAAAGTCGTTGAACAGGGTGAAAGGGGTGAAGATGTATTAAGGTTTTTACTGGATAATCCAAAGCACATAATAGTTGGTGATAAAAATAGTCCTTCCGAGCATAGAATACTTTTATTCTATTTTGGAAAGCTAAAGTCGTTGGATTTAAAGTATAGAGTATTGGAGTTAGACTTTATTTCAGAGTGCAGTCTATCTTTTTTTCAACATTATCATCTTACAAATTCACTTGCATTGGATCCATCACCCGAGAATATCATATTTAATATTCATCTTTTCTACAAATTGGTCAAGTTAGAACAAGTGCCTCAGGGGACTCAAGATATTATTAAAAGCATCCAAGAATCAAATGATAGCGACTTCAAATCTGAAAAAGCAGAAGAACTTGTAAGAACCATGAGGTTTGATTCAGTGCCAATAGTGAAGACCCGCAATAAAAATGCAGTCTTTAGAGACCAAACAATATGCATTAAAGTAAATAACTTTTACAGTTGTCATAATTTTGTTGTACGACCTTGCGTCGACCATTATGCAGTCTCATTGTTTACCAACAGCTTATCAGAATGCGACATCGAAAAAATTAAAGCCTATGACGAAATGGACCAAAAATACCAACTAGTTGTAGATTATATCGAAAGTTCAATAAATGAAGAATCAAGTGATAGTGGTAGTGAGGAAGGTAACGATGAAGACATTTTCGATGAAGACATTTTCGATGAAGAGGAAGAGGTAAAGGAAACAAGCCTCGAGGTTTTATATGGATCACATATCTTTTTCGGGTCTAAACCACTCGAAAGGGCTAGGGAACTTATAAACTATTTAAATGAAACTGGCTATAAAAGCTTTACTGATGGTTTGTTCAAAGTTTTTGTTATTCAATTGGTTAGTGAATATGTCAGTAAAGAAGCTTTAGAAAAGTTAAAGATAGATTTCAGTTATTTTCAAGAGGCCACAACTCAACTATTACTACTCTATGCAGCATATCATGATCTTGCAATAGTAGAGTATATAGTATCAAACCCAACATTCAATTATGATTCTGTTAAAGTTGATGAAAGCATTGTAGAGAAAATTGTAAAAAGTCAAAAATTCGATTATTTGATGTATTCATTGGATTCTGAATTCACACACTCCAAAGTAAAATCAAATGATATCATATCAATAATCAAATTGCTTTGTAGCTGTACCCCACCAGAATACCACAAATCACTGAAATCTCTTTTCAACCATTTATATAGAGTGCTTCTTTCAACACCCGACGTATCATATCAACAATTAGCATATATCCGAAATCTATTCAAGTCAGATTCAATCGAAATCAAAGAAGACCATTTTACCACATTTAACTACTTGTACATTAGATCTAACAAATTTTCGAAATACTTGGTTTGCCATCCTTATTGCCACCTAATTCTTGATGAACTGGGCCTAAATTACTATAATGCATCAAAAAATTATAATCAATTTTTGTTTTTCGATATCAAGCATGTATTAAACCCATTGGAATTCCCATTTGACGAAATATTTAATGGTAGATTCAATGAAAACAATTTCAAATCTATATTTTTAAAACTAAGAACCTCTTTCATTAAGCAAAGTATCAAATATCAAATACCAAAAACTAGTTTTTATGAAGAAGAGAAGGAATATCTACTTTGCATTTCCAGAATGGATATTCTTTTAGAAATTACCAAAGAAATCGGCTCAGTTAAATTCATAATCGATGAAAATTTTTGTAGGTCAATATCGCCTGATGAGCTCGACTATCTTTTAGAAAATATTAAAATTAATTCAGATATGTCAAGAATTTTATATAACTTTTACCAAAGAGAAAAGAGATTTGATTTAATTGCTAATAATAATTTTAATAATTTCAAAAATGATAATAATAACAATAATAAATAATTGTAATATCTAAATTTTTTTTTTTTTTTTTTTTTTTTTTTTTTTTTTAATTTTATTTTTTTATTTTTTTTAATCATTTTTTTTAAGTTTTTTTAATTTTTTTTTTTTATCAATCATTTTTTTTTTTTTATCACAAAATAATTAAAAATATCTATTTATTTTTTTAAAACAAAAACCCTCATCATTATTATTATAGAAATTTTTTTTTTTTTTGTTTATTTTGTAGTTTCTATAAATTATAAAAGCTATAATTTTAAAATTTTTATCGTTTTGAAAGATATAGTTAGAATGCATAGTGGATTTAAAATTAATGGAAAGCCAATAGAATCGTTATTAGTTCCGGAGCTTAGGTAAATATATATTTATTTATATGTTTCGGTTTTTTTTTTTTTAATTTTTATAATTATTTATTCACCAAAAATATTTTTTATTTTTTTATTTTTAATTTTAAAAAATTATCAAAAAAAATGAAGTTTGGAGATTAGAAAAAGAGGTGGAAGAATTAAAAGTAATGCTGTTAAAGAGCAAATTTATAGACAACTATTAGAACTATTAGAGAATGAAAAGGAAGAGGAGGAGGGGCAGTTTAAAAAGAGTAACTATTAATTATTTGTATACACATTTAATTATTAATTATTATATTAATATTTATTTATATAATAGAAAGAAAATCATTTAGCTCATCACCACAACAACACTTATCACCAATTTTAGTATCAAATAGATCATCGGTTTCATCAACACCAATATTATCATCACCATTAATTATTCATGAAAGAGGTAATATATTCAATTTTAAACCTTTTGATGATAATAGTAATAAATCTATATATGTTGGAAGTAAAAAAAAAATACCAACCATAGACGAGGATTATTATGAAAAAGAAAAGAATTTTATGAATGATATGTTCGATGAAGAAATTATAAATGATGATCAGAACAGAAGAATTGTAAATAATCACATCAAAAGAAACAATAGTAAAAGAAGTCGTATCAGCCCAGAAATAAATTACACAGATGCATCAGATAAAAGCGAAGAGGAGGAAAGAGAAGAGAAAAACAAAATTTACAATGCACTTAAAAATAGAGATATCAACAATGACAGTTATGAAGAGGAGGAAGAAGATGATGCAAGCGAGGAAGAGGAAGAGGAGGAGGAGGAGGAAGAGGAAGATGAAGAAGAAGAGCAGGAAGAGGAGGAAGAGGAGGAAGAAGATGAGGATATAGAAGAAGAGGAGGACGAAGAATTACAAGAGGTAGATAGCGAAGAGGATGTTGCCGAATTATCTGAAGATAATGAAGAAGAAGGTAGTCAAATAAGCAATAAGAGAATGAGCCTTCAAAACAAACTTTCAATTGATCCAAATGAATTAGAATCTAAAATTTTAAACAACTTTGTTTCAAATCAAACATTGATACAAAAAACTCATCCAAATTTAGGTTCCGATCTAGTTAGGGAGTATGTAAGATTTATGATATTAAAAATATTAGAAAATGACCTTTACCCCAACACACCATCAAAGCTAATGCCCCCACCATTTATCTATGATATATGGTCACTACATATACTCTCAACTACCAAGTATGAAGAGTTTCAAGCCAATATTCAATTTAAAATACCACACGACCCAGATAATTTCACCGATCATATTTCAATCATAAGGAGCAAGTACTGTAAAACAGTAGAAACATACATTAAACATTTCAAAAAAAACCCCACAGAGGAATTACCAGATGTGTGGATTGACCCATCCACCTTGTTATCAAATGATCAATATAAACCAAAAGTTAAAAAAATAAAACAATCAAACAATAAAATAAAAAATAATATAGACAATAGCAATAATATTAATAGATATAGTATTGGATTAAAAATATAAATGTAATAAATAAAATAGTTTCCTTTTTTTTTTTTGTAGTTTTTATAATTATTTTATATTTTTTTATAATTTTATTTATTTTTATTTTTTATTATTTATTTTGAGGTCCATAATGTTGAATAAACAAATCATAAATATAATCTTTATTTGTGCTTTTAATAATATTTAAATAATTTGATAAAATTGAATCAATAATATTGACGTTGTCAGTTTGATTTTTTTTAAATTCGATAACTAAATCGACATATTCTTGAATTTGTTCAAAATCTAAAATATAAAATACTGAATAATTAAAATCAGTAGAGTTGATTAATGCTTCAATTTGATTTTCTTGAATTGGTACACTTTGAATAAGCTTTTTATATTCTGTGAAAAATAAATCGAATCTCTTTATATCTAAATAATAAACCAATTCATCCTTCATATTTCTGTGAATATCTGGTACTGCAACTAAAGCTGCTAACACTTGGTCAAATGATGAGTTGAAAATAAAGTCAAATGTAAAGACATTTGGGTCTAAAAACTCCATGATATCTGTACCTGGTAAAAATGTTTCATAGTTAAAGTTAAAATCGTAGTATTTGATGAATGTGAACTCTACCATTCCTTCAAGGGTTTCTTGTAACTGTGCTTTGGACATTAAATATTTGATTAGCTTTGGTGATCTGATATTTAAATAATAGAATGCTTCGTAGAGTGTGTGACGAGAGTTGAGGAATGTTTCTAAACCTGCTTCAATAACCATTTCCCTTGCCTTAAGAACACTTTCAAGTGTTATTCCATAGATTTGAATTAATCTTCTATAGTGGTGTTGGAAAACTAAAGTTGTGGCATTAATTAAACCATGGTCATCTGTTTGAAAAGCTTTAGCAGTTCTATCTAACCAATATTTGAATGGTTCAATAACTTGTTCGTATGTAATATTTTTTTCAGTGCAAATATCAGTTGGTGTGTATAATGGGTTGGCATTTGGTCTAAAGAAACTATAGGTCTGATTATCCCATTCGAAAAGAAATTGCTCGCTATTTGCTGAAATATTAAATTTGGAGATGATAAATTCTGTGGCTGTTTGATCAAAACATACAATTGCATCAATTAAAATCTTGGTTGCACCTATTGAATCAATATCGAAAAGATGGTTGATATTTAGTTGAGCTAAAACTGAATGGTTTGGATTATTTGCGTGGCAATATCTTTTATAGATTTTTTTATAAATGTAATGGATAAGATCTTCTTTAACCTCCCCTCCATTTCCTTGATAATCGGTGCACAAACAATTGACAACTTTGATGAAATCATCATCAGATAGATTCTTAATTGAAACTCTCGATTGCTTTGAGGAGCTGATTTGTAATTTTTTTAAAGTTAAAGATAGAGGATTGTTAATAACTTGTCTCCATTTAACATTATATTCGGATACCATTATTGGAATTTGGTTTTCAATATTTTCTCTAGCAAAACGAGCCAATTCATAGGTTTTAAAAATAACTTTATCCTGCTTTCTTCTATCAATATACTCTTGTTTAAGAGAATAGAGTCCCTTTGTGCTATCCTTTATGATCCAGTTGATTGTATCTCTATCACTGATTATAAACTCGTTTGATTGACCCATAATATCTTTAAGACTTGGATGCCATTTGATAGTTGGATTTGTTAAATTATACTTTGGTTTAACATTGATAATTGCGTCAATGGCCTTCAAATAGTTCTCTTCTGTTCCCATTGAAAACACAGCTTTTCTGACTAACCATATATCGTACTTGTGTATTGTTTGCGATGTATATATATAGATAAAATTAATAATATCTTCATCATTGGACCCATTGATATTTGTGGTTATTAATTCATGTAATTCGCTTGTTTGATAGATTGAACCATTGTTGAGTGGTCTGTAGTAGCTCTCATTGATGGGTAAGTTATATCTTTGTTTTAAATATATAATTAGCTTTTCTAATTTTTTTGAATCGCTCTCTCTAAGCAATATTGAAAGTAACTCTATTTCCTTTTCTTTTTCATTCTTTCCATCTTCATTTTTGATAACTTGGTCGATTTCTTCTTGAGTTGTTTCTGGCAATTTGTAATTATTACATTTTAAGTATATTTTAAATAAGAATAAAATGAGTTCAGTTGAATAAACAATATCTTCTAAATCAGAACATTGAGATTCGAAACTTGAACGTTTAATTTTAAAATAATTTAATTCTAATAAATTTTCTCTTAGTTTATTTGATTTAATATATAAAATTTTATTAAGTGAGTCTGACGGGGTGAACGTTGATGATTTAATATTATTTAAATTTAATTCTAAAAGGTAATTTATTATGTCATCTCGTTTTGAATTATTATTTTTTTTATTTTTATTCCTATTATAAATATTATTATCACTATTATTATTACTACTGATATTACTATGTAAAGTCTTTTCATCAATAAATGCCGGGACTATTTCTTTGAATTCATTTGATTTGTTAGTTTCGATTGAATAATTTAGTAAATCCAAACTAACTGGTAATGAAAACTCTTCTGTCAATAACTTTATAACCTCTAAATTATTTTGATCGATTGCAATTGTATATAAATCTAACTTGCTTTTTATTTCGCTAATCTTTTCCTTTAAAAACACTTTGATAATTTCGAGGTCATCACACTCTGAAAATAATAAAGCTAAACCACTTTCTTCAATAGTGATATATTCTTTGTTGATTGACTTGCATTTCAATAATTGAAATTGTTTTTTAGTTACCATCCATTCTAATGATTTAATATATTTAAACTTTCTTCTATTGAAAATTGAATATTGCCTATAGTCATCATAATGATACCATTCAGTATTCTGAATTTCTTCTAATATTTTCTTTAATAAAAATTTATTTTGAAAAACTTTAAAAAAACTACTTTCATTCATTTTATTTTTTATTTAATTTATTATTTAGCTTATATTTATTTTATAGTATTGCTACTATGGCTATGGTTTTTTTAAAATAAAGAAAATAAAAAAATATGTAATTAATTTAAAAAATTAGATTAAAAAACAAAAAAAATTTTAAAAAAAATTTTAAAAAAAATAATAAAAAAATTATTACTAATTTTTTTTAAAATTTTATTAAATTTTATTAAACTTTATAATCATTTAAAATTTATATGATTTTGAGGTAAATTTTTTTTATTTTTTTTTTTTTTTAATTGAATTCAATTTTTTAATTTTTTTGCTGTAATCCAGAAATGAATTGCTATATAGTTTATCAAATATTTTAATTTAAATTTAGGTTACAAAATTGCCTTTTTTATAAATTAAATAAATAATGATAATTTATTAAACAAATAAAAAAAATAATTTTAGTTGTGTTTAAAAACTTTTCTTGAAAAAATTTAAATTTAATTAAAAAAAAATTTTATTAAACTAATTTGGCAAAGTCTATATTTTCAAATAAAAACCCCACCCCACAATAATTTTTATTTTATTTTATTTTTTTTTTTAATTTTTTTTCATATTCCGCATCTATTAAAAAACAAATTTATTAATTGTCTTTAATTTTTTTTTATATAAATTATAATTTTTTAATTTCATTTTTTTTTTTTCTCTTCATTGCATTTTATATACACATTTTATTTTATTCATACTACACATACAATTTATATACACATATATATATCTATTTATATTTTACATACATATTTTATTTACATTTAGTAACTTCACCAATTTTTTTTTTATTTTTTTTATTTTTATGTTGAATAATATTTTTTTTTGCAACAATACCAAAACAAACACCACAATCACAAAAAAAATCACAAAAACCAGTTCCACAACAAATAGTACAACCAACACCAACTCAAAAACCAATGCCACAATACTCCCCATATGCTAGTACTTTTGCTCCAGTATACCGTTATCAATCAAGACAACAACCAAAATCACAACAAACACCACAACATACCCCACAACAACAACTAAAACCAACATTCACTTCACAATTTATTGAAGGACCTTCAATTGAAGAATATGATGAAGAACTTGGTGAGTGGGTCACAATATACACCTCACAACCAACACCACAACCAATGACCTCATCCGATTACCCATCTTTTATGCATCAGAATCCAGATACAATTCTACAGGTGCACCAACACAATCATATGAGGGAATGGTTGAGGGGTCATCAATAGAAGAATTTGATGAAGAACTTGGTGAGTGGGTAACAATATACACCTCACCTGCAACTTTCGCACACTATACACCACAACCAACATCAAACTACCCAACCTTCTATGCACCAGGATCAATATTCGATTCTACAGGTGCATCAACATAATCAAATGGGGAAAATGAAAAACTTGGAGAATGAGCCCCACTACACACCTCAATATAATTAAAAACATTTAAAAAAACAACTTGGTCTTTTTGTATACAAAAATTACAAAACGATCCATTTCAAACCGTACTGATAATCTCAATATTATTTAGGTAAAATATCATATGTATTTATATTTTTTTTTAATATTAAACCATTTATTAATATTTGTTTTAAACATTTAGATATATTACTATAACTCACTCTACGAAATAACCCAATTGACTTAATATGTCAATAGTCACACACATAACAACCCACTTTGTATTATATTTTTTTAGGTTTTTTATAAAGTTATCAATTGTAAGTTTATAATATATATTATTTAATGGTTTTTTAATTTATTATTAATATAATTATTAGTTAGTAAATATTTAGTAGGTTAATATATTAGTAGATGATATCAACTCTTTAAAATCAATTAAGGTAAAGATTCAAAGAGTGTACCAGAGACTGCAGCAATCAAATTGGCCCTAATGAAGTTTTCTATTGATGGTTATAATACATTCGAATAGTTTTAGATAAAGAAAAGATTTGGTGGTCACTATTCTGCGCCTGCCCCCAAATATCAACTATAGAATCCCAGTAAAACCTATCATTTTATCATAACAATGATATATATTTACAAGTCAAAAGTGGCAAAATCATCAATTGTCCATTTGCTATAGGGCAAAGATTATATCATTAATAAATAGAAAAAATAGTAAGATGGAAATTCATATCAACACCATAACCAATTAGTACAAATTATAGACAATGTATATCATAAATAATAATCAATATTATAAATACAAAAAAAAAAAAGAAAATAAAAAAATTATAAAATTAAAAAATAATAACAAATAAAACATGAATCATCTTTATAAAAGCAATTGATCCATTAGACATCAATAATATTAAAGAACAAAGATTATAATACATTCATATTAATCAAATACTTCAACTTTAATCAATACTATAAATATATTTTAGACAATATATTATATTATATTATATTATTAATCAATATTATAAATAAAAGAATCAAACTAATATGTACATCATATACTAAAAAAAAAAAAAAGAAAACTGGAAAATTGCATTTTGGTTTTTATTTTTAAATAAATTATAATAAATAAAATATTGTTTCATTATTTATTTAATTTTTTTTTTTTTTTTTAAAAAAAAAGTAAATTAACTGTTCAATAAAATAAGTTTTATTTAAAATTCTAGAATTATAATATTCTCTATTTTTATTTTATTGGATTATTAATATTCCAATCATTGCATCAGATTGTGTGAAATAAATTTTTTTGTTTTGGGAAAATTTTAAATAAAATTTTTTTTTTTTACACAATTTTATATTTTTATGTATACTCTGGTCAACATTTTTATATATATTCTGAATATTTTAATTCCACATTATTATTGTGACATTCATGTCTAATTAAACATTTAGGTAATATATCAACAACTAAATGGAGAACAATGCACAAAATTTCTCATAGTCAAATGGTGAATCTGAGAATAATCTTAAAACACTTTTTCTAAACCTAAAACTTAATCATAAATCCAAAATAAGAAACAAAACAAACCTATATATGCTGCATTAAATATTTAATCTTGGGTACCCAAATTAAAAAAAAAATTAAAAATAAATAAACTTGAACATTGTGTCATTGCACCTTATATTTGAAATTTATATTTATATTAACAATTATTTATTTTTTTTTATTTTGAACTTGAATTATATTATTATTATTATTATTATTACTAAATTATATTATAATGATAAACGAATTTAAGCATTTTTCTTTTTTTCAGCTTGGTATTTGACCTGTATTTATTTTAAAAAAAAATAGAATTAGTAAATTTGTAAACTAAAATGAAAATGAAAATAAAATATGTTAAATGATTCTTACAACTAAGAATGGGTAGGCAAAGAAAGCAGCACAGGCACCTAATTTAACAGCTAATGAAATTGAAGCTTGGAGATTTGGGTTCATGCCATATTCTGATGAGCCGAGTTCCTATTAAAATAAAAAATTTATATAATAGATTAATAAATTATTATTAATAGATATAGGTATTGATATTTATGGTTATTGTAATTTAATGTTGTTATTACTATCATGTAATTATTATTCCTATAAAAAAAACATATATTAAAAATCTTTTTTTTGGTGTTATTTTACATACATGGTGTTCGTGACCGTGACCTCTTCTGGCTAATTTTTGGTTTCTAATTGATCTTCTGGCGAGTTGGGCTAATCTTAATGAGTTCATTTTGGATGTTGTGTGTAATAATGAAAAAAAGAAAAAAGAAAAAAAAAAAGGAAAAAAATTAAAAAAAATTTTTTAAAAAATTTTTAAAAAAAATAATTTTTTTTTATTTTTTTTTTATTTTTTAAAAATGATTAAAGTTCGAAAAAATCATTTTTTTTTTTTTTTTGTGTTTTCAATAAATTTCATTGATAGTTTACATATCTAATATTAAAATATACATAATAATAATAATAATTTATCAAAAAAAAAATAATTAAATAATAAGAATAGAGATAATTAGTATATAATGCATTAGCAATACATATACCGCATTTTATTTTTTTATTTTTTTGTTTTTTTTCATTTTATAAATAAATATATTTTCATACACCCATATGTTACAATAGTTTGTGTTTCGGATTGTATTTCTTTATTGTTGTCTATTAATGCAATTGGCACCTGGACTAGCTCTTACAGAACCATTACAGGTAATGTTGGTTCTTGGTTCTAATGTTGGGCCATTGTTACTGTTACTTCTAAGTTGTTTTCTTGTATTTGATTTGACGGTAAAACTATTTGATGTAATGTTGGCTGTTTGGTTTTAATAATAATCGTTAATATAATAGTTTATTTTTAAATTTCAATTTTTAGAAACAACTTACCAATAATTGTCATTTTGTTATTTATTTATTATTTAGAAATAATCGCTTTTATTTATTTGTTTTGTTTTGAAATATTTGGTAAATTTTTTGTATTTATATCAATTTAAAAAAAACAAAAAAACAAAAAAAAAAAAAAATCTTTAATAACCTTTACAATATTTAATAACATATATAATCAAAGTTGTACAGTTATATTTGTATATATACAGTTATATTTGTATATATACAAATATATTTATATTTTAAATGCCATGTGTTACAATTATTTTTGACAGTTATAACAAAGCACTTCACTCACACATCATCACAAAAAAATCAAATTATAAAATAAAAAAATAAAAAAATAGAAACAAGAAAAACATATCATTTTAAATGACATATAAACCCTTTTTTTTTTTTTTTTTACGAAATTGATATATTTTATTTTATAATTATAGATTTAAACAATGTGACTTGTGTCTTTATAATTAATATTAACACAAAAATAATGCAAAAGAAAACAAAAAAAT